AGGGGCGGGGCTAGGGCGGGGCTCCTCCCGTCCTCTTTTTTGCTCGCTGAAATATGGTAACCCTAACGTATGCCAGTGAAAGCAAGTCGCCCCCCCCCCCCCCCCAGCAGGGTACTGACTGGGGACACGAGGCCCAGGGCAGCAGAGAACGGAGCCCCGTGCGCTCACGCCCCCAATCTTAGCACAGTTCTACATGGTGGCTGGAAATGCCACTAACCCCCAGCTGGCCCAGCCAGCCCTGCTCCCCGAGCGCCAGCGCCGGGCTGAGCCCGGAGTCCAGGCACAAAGGACGCCCAATCCCCACTGGATGCTGGGGAGAGTCACTGGGGCTTGGGGGCTGGTTTGGTCCTTTGAGACTCCCCCAGGCCTCTGCCCATCTGGTTTGAAAACGCAAACCCCACGATCAATAAAAGGCCGATTGCTCTGCTGCATGTTAGAAATCCAATTTCTCCCAGCGGCCATCCATCAGCCCCTGCCGCTCCCCCGAGCCATACATAAAAACCTGCCATTTGCAGTGACACGCAGCTCTCCCATCCATCCTGAGCCCTGGCTAACGAGCCAGGCATCTCGAGCTGCCAGGACCGGCCGAGCTCCCACGCAGCTACAGAGCAATGGCGGCCTGAACTCTGGCCTCCTGGAAGCCTCTCTTCCTTCATGAATTCAAACGACCAGCAGCCCCGGCTACGTCTCCATTGGTTACCAGCCACGCCCGGGGTGCTTTCGCTCTGCTTCGGGCGGGTGCTGGGACAGCACTGCTGTGTGACGACACACCCACTAAGCAATTCTTGGGGTCACCCCTGTAGTATCGCCAGCATCAGGCTCTGACATGCCGGGCGCTGCCCACGCAGAGCGAGAGACAGCCCCGCCGGTGTGAACAGGAAAAGGAGACAAGGGAATGATGCTTGTCCTGAGGCCCAGAGAAAAGTGACTTGCCCAAGTGCTGGGAAAGAATCCAAGAGTTCCCTGCTCTAAACCCAGACTCCTCTCCTCAAGTCAGGGCTGGAGCTCAGGAGTCCCGGCTTCCCGCCCTCCCTCCCTCCCTTGATGCAGGAATAGAACCCAGGAGTCCTGGCTCCCAGTTTCACCTCCTCAAGCACTAGGTTCAGTCCTATGAACCATGCGCCCCCTCTGGGTAACTTCCCCGCTCCCCCAATCCTTCAGCCGTGTCCCCAGGTGTGATGCACAGCCCCATGGAGCCCTGCCCCCTGCAGCCAGCCTGCTACAAGGGGAACAGCTCTGCCACCGGCTCCAGCACGCCTCTGGCTGTGTTTACAAGGCCCTGGCTACAGGCCTGCATGGCCAGCAGGGACTTCCCTCAGGTTCATATAACCAAGGAAGGACATACAGAGAAGTAAGGCCCCGATTCCCCCTGCACGCGGCCACGCGTGATCCTGCACTGAAGTAACTCACGGCGCGAGCTGCAGCCGTTGGCATTAGTCTGGCCCCAGTTTCCAAGTCGACAAGGCCTAGGGTATCTTTAGGCTTCAAGACGCCATCGCCGGGGGGCATGCAGCACGCTTCCCTGCCCCCACCCCCTTCCTAGTACGTGTTCCCGGTGCCAGGTGACGCCAGCGAAGGGTCTAACCCGCTTTGCACTGTGTGGCCAGAGGTTGCTCCAGGCGCCAGTCTCACTCTCCGGCTACGCACGTGGGACACGCTGCTGGGGGGCACCCGACACCGTTTGCAGGAGGTGCAACAGAAAGACAATGAATGAGAGAGATGTGGAATTAGAAACAGGAGCCTCTGCTTCTGCTCCACATTGTTAATAGCCTCCAGCGTGCAGCCCTGGCCCTCCTGGCAGAAAAGCTGGGGTGCTTGGCTGCAGAAACGGCTGGCATCTCTCACGGGGACTGGGATTTCTTGACACTAGTAATTGCCTCTCTCGAGCTCTGCTGGGCTCGCTGCGCTGAGACGCTGAGCTCTGCACAATGAAGACGCTGCACCTTTACGGGTGTTTCCCAGAGTTTTATTAGCTCTCCCCACCCTCCACAGTCTACCATATTAAACGGGTTTTCGCTCTTTCTGCAGACCGAACGCTTGGCGAAGTTTTAAGAACTAAAGCGGCACCATGATAGAAATGCCTGGTGTGCCTGATTTCAGAGTTGGCTGAGCGTCACCCCGCCAGGCTCATCTCCTCTGGCCACGGTTACAGGCGGTTTTTAAGGGGTGTGTGTTTCCCATTGCTTGGATTAAAGGCTGGACTGGCCCTGGGCACGGAAATAGACAGAGCAGGGCCGGAATTGTCACAAGGGCTCCTTGTCCAGGATCGGGGCCAGCAATCCTTTAGGCCAGGGGTTTTCAAACTGGGGGTTGTGACCCCTCAGGGTGTCATGAGGTTATTACATGGGGGTCACGAGCTGTCAGCCTCCACTTCCAGCATTTATAACAGAGTTAAATTTTAAAAAAGTGTTTTTACTTCATAAGGGGGTCGCACACACAGGCTGGCTGTGTGAACGGGGTCACCAGTACAAAAGTTTGAGAACCGCTGCTTTAGGCACCGGAATAAGTGGCCAGATTGTCTGACGCGCCCAGCACGGCAGATCCACGCTGGGTGCTGAGCTCCTGGGAAAACCCTGCCTTGAGTGGCGTGTCAGGAGCTGCTGAGAGATCCGGTCCCGACTGCGGGTGCTGCGCCCTTCTTGGGGGCTGGAGATCAGACCCCTTCCTCCACGGTGTGCACAAAACGGCCATGGAAGCCTTGGCCTGCAGCCGTCTGAGGCTTTGCAGAGTGATGCAAGCCACGTGGGTGGCTTGCAAGGGGAGAGGAGCCATGGGAAGGCGAGGCAGCCCCCGGACTCCTCCCGGCCCCGGCCCCAGCCCAGCACCCACCCGCCAGCGCAAGCCCTCGGCACTCACCCTGCTGTCAGCACTGGGAGCCATGGTGTCGGTCATCCACGATCCGAACCGGGATCCCGACGCCCGGATGGTGATGGGGTTACTGACACCTGTCAGCTTCCCGCAGCCTGCGGCAGGACAGAGAGAACGGTTACAGGAGAGAAACCTGCCCAACCGCTGAGGCGGGCGGGGATCAGTGGGGGGCAGAGCAGGGTGCGCGGGAGGGGGCTGGGACTGCAGTGACAGAGACCCCTCCACGCTCGGCAGCCTCCTGTCCGGGCCGTGCAGTGCTTCGAGAACGTCCCCTACCGACAGCCAGCCGGTTGGTGCCTCCCTGAGCCAGGTAGATGCTGCTCCTGTCCCTGCTTGCATCCCTCACCAGAACTGGGCGCAGTGGGTGAACGTTCGTCCCACCCGTGGCAGCAGCAGCGTCCAGCCGCACAGCAAGGCTAGTGGTGTGTACTTACATCAGGCCAGTCCCCCGGTGGGCACTCTGCCTCTGACTGCAGCTGGTTGCCCTGGGCCTGTGTGAACCCGACGCCTCCCCAGCACGCACGCGTCTCTGGCACACCGGGTGAAATCGGCGGGAGCACAGACGTTTGCACCAGTGTAACTGAATCCCTTCCAACCCTGATTTCTGTTAAAGCAGTGCGACTTTGGGGGGAAAGGCATCCCCATCTCCACGAGGACCCCCCGATCCCAGGACAGAGCTAGACAGAACCTGGCTCGAGTCAGTCCCCGTCTTCAGCGGGTGTAAGTTACTGGAGCCCCGGTGCCTTCGAGGGGGCGCTATCGATTCCGGCCAGCGGAGGCTGATGTCTGTACAAGGCTCCTCGCTCTCCCAGTCGATCCTGACCCCTGGGATTCACGTCCAGGCAAAGCAGGGACCTTCCTGGGGGTTTGTGGCCTTGAGCCTGATCTCAATTAATCCAGTGTGGATCTGGAGTAACCGGATTCACACAGGCATAATTACAATCCGGGTCCCTCTCCATTGTCACTGATCCGGCTGAGAGCTGGATCCCAGACTTTGTTCTGCCTGGTGAAATCAAAGCCTAAAACCACAGCTCAGAAGGGAGCAGGCCCAAGCGCCTCAACAGGCGATGCACAAAAACCTCCAAAAAACACCCCCAAGATCGGCTGAAAATCCCACTTTACTTCGGGCTAATTCGTCAACACCTGGAGCCTTGTACCCGACTTTTCACTGCCCTGTGCACAGCTCCCCCCACCCTGGTGAGGGAGTGGCAGGGCCTGAGCCGAGAGGACGGGGCAGTGGTCAGGGCACGCCCCTAGGCCTTGGGAGACCTGCTCTGCAACAGACTCCCTGTGTGACCTGGGGCAAGTCACTTAGCCCCTCTGTGCCTCAGTCCCTGTCTGTGCAATGGGGACACCAGCTCTGCTTCACTGGGGAGGGGCAGAAAGACCCCTCCAAACCCCCATCTATAACCCGCTCATATTGCCAGGGGTCCGAGCAGCGGGCGATCAGGCTGCCTTGTATACACCAGCCTTCATGTGCCACCTCCCCCCGTCCCTGTGCAGCGCCGGTAGCCACCGAGCCAGAGCAGGGCTGGGTCCTGCCTACCCCGGTTATTACAATATTAAAGCAGAGACTGGAGCCCTGCTGTTCCGGGTGCTGCCCAGGCCCTGACCGAGATCAGGGCACCAGCCGTGCCAAGTGCTGCACGGACGGAGAGCGAGGGACAGCCCCAGCCCCAGAGAGTGAAGCGTCAGGATTAGAACCCAGCTCTCCCGCTTCCCAGCCCAGCACCACGCTGGCTCATCACACACATGGGTTCACTGGGGAAGCTCAGCATGGGAGATGCCAGGGGAGTGGGGGAGTTTTCAGGAAAACATCCTGATTCCCTCTGGCTCTGCATGGGGCAGCTGTTTCCGCCAGCCCAGAGCAGGCACAAAACAATCCCGTTCCACCCCTGCTCTGCACGGACGCCAGGGTCTAAGCATTAGCACTCGAAAGGGCTCAGCAGAGCGGCAAATCAGCCACGTGGACGCCTGGGTGCACTGGGACAGCTCCCAGCATCTGCCGCCTGCAACCTGACAAGAGGTTGGCAGCAGGGAGCGAGCAGAGCTGCGAGTCCTACCCGCAAACTGCCTCTGTCTCGAGACCCAGGCCTCAGGGCGGCATCCCAAGGCCAGCCCAGCCCAACCGAAGCCCCTGCCACCCTTGGCTACTGTTGTATTGGGATTTCTAGCTTGGAGCAGCAAAGCCCGTGGGCTGGGCTCCTGGAGAGTGAGACACAGGTGAAAAGCAGCCGTTCCCAGCCCGCATCGGAGGGCAAGCAGCGACCCAAGCTGAGAGGGGAAAGCCAGGCAGCCCGGCAGAGCCGTCTGCTCATCAGAGCTCCGTGCGAGGGCTGCCCCGGCTTCACGGGGAACATGGAGCCCCCGGTTACAGAAGAGAAATGGAGATTACAGGCCACTCCTTGAGCAACTCTCCTCCCGGCTCTCATCTCAGGCTGGCCTTGCCCAGGGAAAGTGCTCGGGGGGCAGGGAATGCACCCGGGTCTCTTGTCTGCTGGGTGACCTGGGGCCGATCACTTCCCCTCTCTGTGCCTGCCCCCTGCCACACCCACTGAATGCCCAGATGGGAAGGGATGGTCTCGTGCTGTGCCTAGCACGGTGGGCCGCGGTGATGCGAATAACACTGTAGGAATAAACGCTGGGCTGCTCTCAGCATGGGCCGACCCCGAACAATACAGTCGTCTTCCAGGCCAAGGCTTGGCTGGATCTTCGGTTCTCCCTATCTCATAGCAAAGGGACGGTCAGTGAAACAGGAAGGTGGCAAGTTCAAAGGCAGCGAGGAGGAAACACAGTTTCTGTTGGCCAGTGGAACTCTCTCCCACAAGGTGTTGCTGACACCGAGTTCAGCAGGGTTCACAAAAGGGTTGGACATTCAGACGATACAGAGACTATCCACTGAACCAGCAGGTGCTCTGGAAAACTTCCTGCTTCAGGGTATAACTACTGGGGGTCAGGAAGGGTTTCCCTGAGGGCAGATTATCCCATCGCTGCTCCTGCAGGGCTCCATACGACTTCTGACGCTGCTGGAGATGGGCCCGGGCTGGATGGGCCCCAGTCTGCCCCGGGCTGGTGCTTCCAGCTGCTCGCTCTGCACATGCCCTCTGCGGAGTCTAACCCGTCTGTCTGGCATCAGTCCCCTAGTGCTGCCCTCTCTCCAGCCTGGCGGGATGTCTGCCCCCTGGACCCTGGCTGGGGCTCAGCCCAGGAGCACGTGGGAGCGAATCAGCTGTCAGCTCAGCCACAATAAAGATGGCATGAGGGTGACACCATCCCAGGCACTTTGCAATGGGAGCTGGCACTCCCGGCGCCCTTCGCTGGGGGGGCCCAGGGGAATTCCCGTCACCCTCCTAGTCTGGCCCTGGCGTCCAAACGTGAGAGAGGAGCCTAGGCGTCCCCAGACACAGGTCACTGGGGCCGGGCTCCTGGAACCAGACTCAGAAACCTGCATCACCTTCCTCAGCAGCTGGCGGCACCTCCCCTGCTGTAACTCACCAGACCTTGCTTCCCTCCCACAGCTGGGAGAGAATCCAGGAGTCCTGGCTCCCAGCCCCCCCTGCTCTCACCCACCAGACCCTGCTTCCCTCCCAGAGCTGGGCAGAGAACCCAGGAGTCCGGGCCCCCAGCCCTCCCCTGCTCTCACCCATCAGACCCTGCTTCCCTCCCAGAGGTGAGCAGAGAACCCAGGAGTCCTGGCTCCCAGCCCCTAGCTCTAACCCATCAGACCCTGCTTCCCTCCCACAGCTGGGGATGGAACCCAGGAGTCCGTGGCTCCCACGCCCTCCCCTGCCTCTCGACCCATCAGACCCCGCTCCCTTCCCAGAGGTGGGCAGAGAACCCAGGAGTCCTGGCTCCTAGCCCCCAGCTCTAACCCATCAGACCCTGCTTCCCTCCCACAGCTGGGGATGGAACCCAGGAGTCCGGGCTCCCAGCCCCCCTGCGCTAACCCCTAGACCCCACTCCCCTGTGTGTAGAAACAACACAGGGAGTGAGATTACCCAGACAGGGAACCCTGCGCTCACTCAGCAAGCAGAAGCCATACCCAATGGACATGAAAGAGGCACTTTCATGCACCCCCCCCGCCGAGCCCTCCCTCTTGGCCCGCGGCCGCGTGGCACACTCAGCGTGAGCTCTTTGGAAGCAGAGAGGGGAGCCCCTGGGTGCTGCCCCAGGCGTGTGAGAGAGAGGAAGGGAAGGGAGGGAAAGGCAGCTGCGTTCCATACCCAATTTCTGCATACAGGCATGTAACCGCGCCTCCAGGACCAGCACCCTCTGCTGAAGCTCCTCATAGTCATACGCGCCCATCTCCTCCTGGATTGCCAGCAAGCTCCCCGAGACGTTCCTCACCTCCTCCTTCAGCTGCACGATCATTTTCGTGTCCGCTTTGTATTGATCCAGGACGGGGATCAGAGGCAGCAGCTCCGTCATTTTGTCCTTCAGCTCCTGTCAACGTGGCCAGAGGAATCGGTGAAGGGAAAAATGCAACCTCTCAACAGCAGCCAAGTCCCTCTCCCTGTGCCCCCTTTGGACAGGCATGAATCACTCACCCCCCTGCCACACACACACACACACACACGCA